AGAAGAGAAGAGAAGAGAAGAGAAGAGAAGAGAAGAGAAGAGAAGAGGACCAAGAACAGATCCCTGGGGGATCTCTGAGCAGGAGTGATCTAGATGAATATACAGCAAAGGAGAATGAGGAATAGGCAGATAAGTCACAGGAGAACCACGAGAAACTAGGGTCACAAAACCTGGAAAGAAGAAAGTATCAAGGAGGTGATAGTATCAAAGGTCGGGAAGGATGAAGACTGAGAAAAAGACATTGGATTTGAGATCGTATCCACCCTAATTCATAAGATTATAGATTCAGAACTAGAAAGGACTTCAGAGGTCATGTATTTACCCCAGTGCCTTCATTTTACAGAAAATAAAACTGAGATGCAGAAGGATTAAGTGACTTGCCTAATATCATACAGGCAATGAAAAGAACAGTTATCACTTGAACCCAAGTCTTCTGATTCTGGATCCAGTATTTTTTCCCCACTGTATAACCTCCCTATTCTAGTTTTTTCTTCTCTTTTCCAGGGTAAGCACTCACAATTACTTCAACCTAATCTCATAAGGCATTAATTTGAGGCTCTTCCCCATCCTTGTGTTCTTCTCAGGACAATCCCCAGATCAACCATGTCCTTCCTCAAATGTGGTACCCAGAACTGGATATACTACTTTAAGCAGGGTCTGATCAGGGTAAAGTACTGAGAGACTATCACCTCCCTAGTCCTGTATACTAGGCCTTTCATGTAACCTAACACTGCATTTGCTTTCTTGGCTGCCACTTAGATCTTTTAACAAACTGCAGTTCTAGTCACATCTCCCCTATCTGTGAATCACTTATCAATCAATCAAGAAACATGTATTAAACACCTACTATAAGCCAGATACCATGCTAAGGACTGACAATACAGTCTAATAGGGGAAACAACATATACATATTTAGGCATATATGAGACATACACATAAAATACAAGGTAACCTTGGTATAAAAGGCACTAGCAACTAGGGGTATCACCTGCTATAGGAGGTGTTTGAGCTGACTCTTGAAAGAAACCAGGGATTCCAGGAAACAGAGGTATGGATGGAGATCATTTCAGGCATGAGAGATAGCCAGTGCAACAGCATAGAGATGGGAGGTGGAACATAGTGAAGGGACATATGTAAGCTGTCAAGTTTATCTTTTTTTTTTTAACCCATATGTAAGATTTTATATTTGTTCCCACTACATGGCATCTTATTAGATTTGGCCCAGTGTTCTAACCTGTCAAAACTGTTTTAAAATGGGATTATTATCTAGCACATTACAGATCCCTAAAAGCTTTGCGTCATTTGCAAATTTGATAAGCAGGCCATCTAACTTTTTATCCAAGTCAATGATAAAAAAGTTCAACAGCAGAAGGCCATATGCACAGATCCCTGGAACAATTCACTGGAGACCTCCTGCTAAGTTGGCATAGAATGATTAATGATTCCTCATTGGGTCTGACCATTCAACCAGTGCCTGGCTCCAGTGTATAATGTAAGATTTGAGGATATGACATATATATATGATATGATAGAAAGTAAGATATAATGTTTTCAACTACAGGTGAGAGATACAAAGAGCCAATAGAGCCTTAATGAGAAATACAGAGATTCCAAACTGTTGAAGTCAATTGTGAACCAAGAAGGAAAGAGAAAGGAGAAAAGCAGTAAACTGCCTTATTGTAGCTAGGATGGGGTTATGACCAGGTACGCTGGATCTCCTGAGGCCAGACCAAACCAGCTCAGTTTCAGTTCCATATCCGCTGGGCTGAGAAGAAGCTACAGGCTACAGTGAGGTGCTTCATTCTCCTGGGTAAGCCTCTTTTGGGATAGTCTCAACACAGCTTATGTCAAACTTGTGCCTCTGGTTCTCAATCTTCTGCCTCTACTTTTTCTTGAATCGTGATTTGTGTTCCTACACATAGTCTGGTGACTCAGCCTTTATCCCAGATTGTTTGCTTTGCCTGGAGGCTTACCATCCACAGTTGTGCCCTCAGAATAAGCTCTGAGCCTGATAAATTCATTTATAGCTTTTCATAAGGAAGAATCTGAGTCCCTTATCACTGGCAGAGAGCTGAAGCGCAAAAGGAAGGCAGAGGTTTCCTAGAATCGTGGTGAACCAGGATGAGAATGACAGAAAAATAACAGAGTGGAAGGTTATTTAGGACAATGGAAGGGCAGGGTTATGGCAGGCTGAGAAGCAGTGGAGCTGAAAGAAATTCTATCTTCCTTATCCCACTGGCTTACTCCGTTATTTTCATGTGTTTACAGGTTAGAATGGGGAAATTTTTTTTGCAAAGTTTTACAAGGCAAGTCATTCCTACATTGACCTTCCTGTTTGTGGTCAGAAGAAACTACGAAGGGCTCCCCAAGATACAGGATATATTCCATAAGGCTGAGGAAAGTGTTTACAGATGAGACAACTTGTTCAAATTCACAGAGCAAGGGGATGGTGGAATCAGGACTAATATTTAAGTGTGCAATTTTCAAGACTGGAACATTTCATTCTTAGTGGCAAATGTAAGAGAAATAAACTTTAAGCAGAAACCTATCCTTCTCCCTTGCAGTTACTCATCATATTAGAAAACTGTTTCATCATTACCCTAAAGGCACAATTATCTTGTCCCATGTTATCCCTCAAACACCCAGGAACTACAGCAATATAAAAATGCAAAGATGGGTAAAAATTGAAAACAAAAAGAAAAACAAAACCATACATATAGATCAAGCACAAGGCAGCCTTGCCTGTGTACAAAGGAAGAACTAGTTATTCTTATTTCTTTGAGAATTAGTGTTTGGGTCCCAGGAGGAAATGGAAATTACATTTTCCCAGAATACTCACGTAGCCGGCAGATAGGGCAGTTATTTGCCTGATAGCGAAGGGTATCAGCACATGAGTTACAAAGGCAAAGGTGTCGGCAGGGAAGGATCAGAGTGTCTCGCAGGTCAGATAGGCACACAACACATTCGTTGCTGTTGTCACTGTTCTCATCATCAGAGGGCTGTAACAACAAATAATTTCCAAGTTAGCTTCTCACAAGATTCCATGGGTAAATAGAAAGCAGCAGATGAATATATTGCAAGGAGGAGAAAAAAACCATAAAGAAGGCAGGTCCTTTCCAACCACAGCAAGCTCTTCCTATTTGCAGCTCTTGTGCTAGCCATCAGATCAAGCTGGCAGTCTTTCTTACTTTGTGTAAGGCAAATTTTGAACAATTTAAGCCTGACCAAAAGGTTGAAGCTGGGTGTTTAAAATATGAATTATTTACCTGTCAACTCTTCTACCTGAGACCTGCTATAGTCCATTAAAACTCTCAGATTTAAATATTTGCTGAAATGGCAAAACCAAGCCACCAAACTGATGACAAATAAGTCATCATTAACCCAGGACAAGGCAGACCCTCAGCTCTGGACACCAATGTGAAAGCCGTGCTCTTGCCATTCCATCAGGTGTTCTCCACTAATGCATGTGGGAACAAACAGCCCAGCCTGTGGCAGGACCTCAGCATGAGAAACGCTGAACCCTGGCCAGGAAGAGCTGGTCAGGTAGTGACCTACTGACCAGGTTCATTCAGGAGTATAAAAAACTTCCACCATCCTGACACTTTCTACCTCCCTGAGAAGAGGGGAAAGTAAGGTTTGTGAGAGAAAGAGACAAAGCAATCCTCGTACAATGCGTAACAGAGACCTTCAGGAGAGACGGCACAGTGCTTCTAGACACTGGTAACTCACTGTAACGCTGTACTTAATACCATAGTGGGCTGCAGGACCACTTTGTGGGTTAGAGTACCTTATAATGAAATCTTCTTGGCATTTCATTACTTAACCCCCATGGATAGGTTCAAATATAGATCTGTTCTGTAGTAAACTCTGTTTTGTGGAGAGATAGGTTATTGCAAGGTTCCCACTTACTAAAACACCTTAGAGGAGCTCAGAGTCTTTTACAGACATTATCTCACCCCAAGCATATTCATGAATGCTAGAGACACAGTATAAAATATTCTTATATGATGGGGAAACCTCATTATGGAGAGCAGAGAAGTGATTTGCTCAAGACTACTCAGATGGATGATAGGAAAAGATCTCAGAAACCTTTATTGCTGTATTCCCTATTTATATCTCAGTTGGAACAGAAAATAAAAAGGCCTAGGATATTCAGTAGGCACTCAGTCCATACAGAAAGAAATGTCTGCTTTCCTTGAGAGGCTAAGACAGCACTACAAAAGTGAGTTTGCCTTGGAGTAATTATGTTATATAGACACAGGAGTGACCTGAACCTCAATGTAAAAGCAAAAGGACAAGATCCTGTTATTAATTACAATCCCCTCTTCCTCAAATAAATCTCATCACTCAAAACCTAGTTACAAGTAGTGCTCAATGAATAGTTGTTAACTCATGAACCTACCTTGGTTTCCTGGTTGTTTTTGTTTTCGATACCATAGATTTCCTGGAGGAGGTAGCTGACTCGATCCACCTAGAAAACAAAAAACAAAATCATTTGTTTCTATACCACTCTGCCTTATTACTGAATTGTTTTTATAGAGGAAAGGGTTATTGTAGAGAGCTTCCCAATGTATCAACTGGCATTTGGTGTTGGTCCCACACCTACCTACCTCTAGATAAATGAGATACTGAAAAAATCTAGGAATGAGTAGCAGTAGAAAGATAATAAGCTCCAGCCTTAGCCACTAAGGTGCTGTAAAGGGCACATCAGGAAATTGTGATTAGCTAGCTCAACATGCATATACATGGGGGGCTGGGGGCCCTGCGAGGGTGGGCTCTTAACCTTTTTTTGTTATAGATCCATCTGGCAGTCTAATGAAGTTTATGAACCCTTTCTCAAAATAATGCTTTTAAAAGAATAAAATAAAATACATAGGATTATAAAGGAAATCAATTATACTGAATTAGTTATCTATGTACCTATCTATCTATCTATTAAAAAAAAAGTAATGGGCACTAAGTTAAGAACCTCTACCTTAGACCTAGGAAATGGGTCCAGCTAAGGTCAGAAGATACCACATTGAAAAAAAAAATCTCCAGCTCTGACTTGGTAGTACTATATAGCAGTGGTATCAAGCTCAAATAGAAAAAGATGCCTGTCGGCTGCATATTGACTTAGCAGACAACAAATTAAAATTCTCTATGTTTTATTGTATTTTTATTTATTTTGTTAAACATTTCCCAATTACATTTTCATCTTGTTTGGGCTATATTCAAAAGTTTTCAAGCTTCGAGTTTGACTTTTCCACTACAGCGTCTGTGGCAAAGGTAGGCTGGCTTAGTTATTTAGAAAATAGTACTAATGAAACCAAGGTCTTGGGTTCAATCACTATATGATCCATTTAGTTTCACTCTATTCCCCAGCCATAAAGCATATCCCAGACTAAACTAGTCATCTCAGGAACGAATATTTTTGGTCATAAAAGGAACCAAGTGAGGCAGTGCAAATGCAAATTCAAGCCCATTTCTATAAAGAACCCAGAGTTTTTTGCATGGACAGTAAGCCCACTGTGGAGTCATCTCTGTGTAACAATGATAGTCTGTAAAATTCACAAATATGGTCTTAAGATAAACATCTCTGATGTTCCTATGAGAGGATATGATATCAATTTAGGAGTTTTTCTACTCTCGGCTTGGGCTTTTCAGGAAATACAGATGAGATCCTAAACTGCTACTTTTTTTTATTATCTTTTTCTTCTATAATATATAATGTATCTTATTATCTGTTTTGAAACAATTTCCAGTTTAAAGACCACAAAGTTAAATACCAAATATATAAAAAGTCATTCTCCAAAAGATAAAAGGTCAAAGAATTTGAACAAACAGTTCTCAAAAGAATTACAAACTATTAAAAACCATATGAAAGAGTGATCCAAATGACTAATAGTAAGAGAAATGCAAACGAAAGTAACTCTGAGGTTTCGCCTCATACCCAGTAATTTGGCAAACGTGGCAAGCGACGAGAATAGTCAATATTAGCAGAGTTGTGGAAAGACAGGCACACTAATATACTTGATGGATTTGTAAAATGTATCAGCCATTCCAGAAAGCAATTTGGAATTATGTTAAGTGACAAAAATGTCCATACCTTTTGATCTAGAGATCTCACTGTTCAGTATATACAACAAGGAGGTCAAAGATAGAAAGAAAGGTCCAATGTACACCAAAATATTTACAACACTTTCTGCAGAAATTAGAAACAAAGCACATGCCCATTGACTGGAATGTCTAAACAAATTGTGCTACAGAAACGTAAAGGAATAAAGAATATAAAGAGGTATGGGAAATTCGACTTATATGAACTGATGCAAAATGAAGTAAGCAGAACTAGAAAAAGAAAATGCAGCACGATTACAATGGAAATGGAAATAACAACAACAAAAAATCTAAGAATCCTGTATAATTATAATGACCATGCTTAGCACCAAAGAAGAGATATAAAAATGCATTGCCCTACATTTCTTAAGAGATGGAGTACTTACAGATGTGGAGCATAGCTTGAGATCCCATCCAACTGTTCACATTGGCCATTTTCTCATAGACAGTTCCTTACAGTTGTCCTACAGACAACTCGACCTATCAATAGACTCCCCTATTATAAGCTCCACTCACTCTCTTTGTGACTCCACAAAGTAAAATACTCTTCCCTGGACACCACTCATTTCCTTGTATGTTTTGTCTTCCCCTCATAAAATATTAAATTCTTTAAGGGTAGAGACTGTTTTGCTTTAGTATTTGTATCTCCAGGACCAGTAAACAGTGATTGCCAAGTAATAAGCATTTACATGATATTTTTCATTCACTAATACACTACTGGACTTGGCTGATGTGTTAGTTTCAATGAACTGCTTCCCACTCTCCCCCCTTTTTTTTTCTTTTTCTTTCTTATTGTAGAGAATAACTCTCTGGATGGGGAAGAGGAGAGGGAAATACTGGGAAATCAAGTGACGTAAAGATATCCATAAAATTTTTAAAAGAATGCAAAGCTCATTTTAAATATATGATACACCAATCATCTTTGATTCATACTTTTCACAATGACCACTTTCAAAAATTCTTTTTGAAATCCGAGACTGTTTCTATAGTACTATGCTCCCCAAGACCCTTCTGATTTCTACTTGCATCTTTGCTGAGCCTTACTGCCAGATTCCAATTTAAAATATTAAAGCTCCTTTGATACAACTCCAGTTTTGCTTTTCTTTTCCTTTCTCTGCCTTCCAGAATTTCTGGAATCCTCTACCTCAGCGCCTCTGACAAAGCCTTCATTTCCTAGGCATTGTGGGTATATGTCTTCTATACCTACCCCCCCCCCTTGTTTTTTTCCCAAAAGAATACTTTTCCATTACTATTCTGGAGCTGAAGTGATAGTGGGAAACTGTACTCCTGCAAATAACCAGTTGCCAAATGCAATAAAGTCAGTCATTAAGTATCTTTTAAAAATGGAAGTACTAGAAGCATACTTTTTATAATTTGCTTTAAAAAAGAAATAAAAGTATACTGAGAAACAGAGTGGCATAGATAAAGAGCTGGCCCTAAGAGGAAGTCCTGGGTTTGAGTCCTATCTCTGATTCTAACTATGATTCATCACAGGCAACTCTCTGAGACTAGAATTTATAGAACTGATGACATATATTAATAGAGGCAGTTTCCTCATCAGAAGTTGCCTCTAGCAGTGAAATCACAGATCCTGCTCCTTTCCACAAATAATTTTTTAAAAATACATTTTATAGATGTAGTTGTTTTTATATCACAATGGCTTCTGGAAATATTTCCTTCCTCATTTTCCTCCCCACCTAAATTGAATCCTGCTTATAGCAAAGAAAAAAAGTTAAGCAAAAACATTCTATACAGTGATTGCATCTGACAATAACATTCTGCCTAGGAGTTCCCCACCTCTCTGCAAAGAAGAAACAGGTTAGTTTCATTAAATTCAGACTTGGGCTTATTTTTAGTAATCTTTTCATTTATATTGCTACAGTCACAGTTGTTCTGGTTCTGCTTACTTTATTAAGAGCTCCAATTTTGTTAAAATCACTTTTCAATGGCATCTGAATTTGTGAAAATTGAAATATGTGAATCAAAGGTAGCTCAATTTAAATGAACTCTTTCTTGGACCCTTAAGGCTGGCCATCACCAGAAAGAGCAGTCCTTCTGGCCTAAGGGCCTCCTGAGACAAGGTAGGGGAACCTGCCAGAGGACTGATAGAAAACACAGCTTCAGGCTTCAAAGAACAGAGCCAGTTCCACAGGAACTGTTGACTTTAGTAAAGATGACTGCCCAGTTTCCTCTGGAAAATGCTGGGTTTGGTCCATTTGGCTAGGATTATGCAACTCACTTCTTCCACACTGTTTCATCTTTTCTACTCTCAATTGCAACATGTCTGTGGGTAAGCAACATCATGATATCTGTGATTCGGAGTTTCAGTATCTGTGAACCTCTATAATAGGAACAGTAATAGAAAAGGAACTTGTGCCCTCCATCTCCTTTTATGGACATTTAACTCACTATAGAAATTTAGGCAAAAAAAGATACTATGGCTCAAGAACATTAGTAAATATGGATTGTTATTTTTTTTTAGCCAAATACATTTACAATATTAAAAAACTTTTAAATTAAAAAAAAAAGATAACACACTTACAATCTGCTTCTGTTTTAAAGGTTTCACAGAGAAGCTGCCATCAACATGCTGCAGGGGAGAAAAGAATTGTAAATGGATAAACTAATATATTCCAGGTCAACTACAGTCATTTTTTTAGTGATGTTTTTCTGGGGGAATTTTTAGAAAAGGGACCAGATATTTTTCCTTTTTCCCCAAGATGACTGAGAACGCTCCTTGGCCTTTTCTCTGATTCACCAAGAATGGTCACTGCGTCAATAACACTGAATGACTGTTGTGTAAAAGGGCACTGTGCTAAGCTCTGTGGAAGACAAAATGTGAAGGCCTAGTGCTACTCTTAAGGAACTTACAATTTAGCTGGGGACACAACTGAAATACACTTAAAAACACAAGGAGATTTCTGAGTGAAGATGAATAGAGGTTAGGCTGTGTTTGGAAGTACTGAAAAAGCAGAGGTTTTATTTGGGTTAAGGTCAAGGCAAGGTACTAACTCTATGAAATCTCCAATTATTTCTTCAGAGTTGATTGAAACCCTGTACTTAAGAGCTTAGTAAAGGCTACTGGATTCTAGATACTAGATTCTGAAATTAAAGTAATGTCACAATGTGTTTTAAAACAATGCAGAAATCTTGAGAAGGTCAGAAGAATTTCATCTACTATGATAAGTGAATATGGAAGTGTAAATATTTATCATTTGCTCCTCCAACTGTGTTGATGAGACCAGTCAATAATGATCATGTATAGGAGGCTGAGGTTCTATCCCTACATCAGGGATTTGCTTTACCCAAAGACTAAACCTCTTGAGGCAGCTAGATGGCTCAGCAAACAGAATGCTGGGCCTGAAGTCAGGAAGTCCTGAGTTAAACTCCAGCCTTAGACACTTACTAGCTGTGTGACCTTGGGCAAGTCACTTTATCTCTGATTGCCTTAATCCACTGGAGAAGGAAATGGTAAACCATTCCAGTACCTTAGCCAAGAAAACCCCATGGATAGTATGGTCCATGACAAAGAGTCGGACACTACTGAACAACAACAAAAACCTCTTGACCCCAGCCTCTTGTCTTGTAAAGCCTTCATCCTCCCTTCACGGGAAAAAAGGTGATAATGCATGACACAAAAACAAATCTATTCCCACCACAGTACTAAAAAAAAATTTCAATTTACTACAAAGGAAAACACATTGTCCTAGGTTCAGAAGACCTGGGTTCTAGTGATAGTTCTTCTCAAGCTGTGACCATAGGCAAAAACACTTAATATCTTTAATTCTCTGTTTCTTCATCTATAAAATGGAGATAACAGTATCCTTCTTGCTTTCCACATAAGGCAGTTACAAAGATTAACATGAGATAGTGTATGTGAAAGCACAAAACAAGTGTAAGGTCTTAGTACTATGTTATACTGAGAGTGATTTAGTAGCCCACTTTCAAACACAAAGGGAGCCCATCATAGAGTTCCTAGAAGGGTCACAGTAAAGAGAGGTATCTATCTAGGTTTTGTGTTTGCTTAATAAATGGATGGTAAATAATGGATAGAAAATGGCCTACAATGCCTGGCAATTCAATCTCTGTTACTAAGCAACTACAACTTTCTCAAAAGCACCTGGCTTGGATAATGGGAGCATTTGCCATGAGCAAAGCCAAACTACAAAAGGGATTCCTAGTGATATAGCAAACACAATTCAGAAAGGGAGTGACAGTGTAGGAACATGATGTTTTCCAAGTTAAGGTAGAAATAATTTGTCATTGCAAATACTTAAGCATACATAGTACTTACAAATAACAAAACTACATTCCTTTAAAAATATATGCTATAAACACCCCTCTTGCCAATTCAGACTGGCTTACTGTCTCTGCAACAAGAATAATGCCTTTAAGCCTTCTCCAAAGCAGGACCACACGCCATTCCTATTTGAAATGTGCTAAGTAGTATTTTTTTTCTGATCATTCAAACAGCTTCTGAAAATATACTTCTTCTGCAAAGCCTTTTTAGATGGATGACGTAAGAGGTGACTGTAATCCCTTCACTGTGCTCAATTCAGAAGATGGCTTTCCATGAATTTCTTTTCTAATTATGTATGTACCTACCTGAACTTTCTCCCTTTCTCTGGCTTCCCACATCTAAAATACACAAAATGCAAATGCTTCCTGGCCTACTGTTGTGTTTTCATTTGGCTCTGTGATCCCATACATATGCCCTTAAATTTTAAATTCCCATAGGGTAGTCTACATACGTAGACTACATATCCAAAACAGAACTTTGTATATTTTTGCCCAAACACAGCCCTTTGCTGAATTCCCCTATATTTATTTAAGGCACCACTATCATTCACAACCTGGAGCTCATCCTCGACTTCCTGTTTTCCTTTACCTCACACATCCAATCAGCTGCCAGGTCCTGGTACTTCTATCTCTGAAATATCTTTTACATCCATCCCCTTCTATCCACCTCATGGCTATTGCTCTAGTTTAGGCCCTCATCATCTCCTGCTCTGACCACTATATTAGCCACCAAACTGGTCTCTATGCCTCAAGTCTCTCCCCATCTCCAATTCACCCTCCACAGAGCTGCCAAAGTTATTCTCCTTATTTCCACATAACTCTCCTACTCTCCCTATTGCCTTTAAGATCAAATATAAACTCTTTTATTTAGTTTTTAAAGCCCTTTATAACCAGGCCCCAACCTACTTTTCCAGCTTTATTATATATCACTACCCTTCACACACTATTTGGGCCAGTCAAACTACTTTCTTACTGTCCTTCACATGTCATATTCCATCACACCTGAAATGTAGCCTCTCCTCACCTCCACCTTTTTAGAATTTATAGTTTCCTTCAAAGCTTGGCTCAAATACCCCCTCCTACCACATGAGGCCTTTCCCAGTATCACCAGCTCCTAGTGTCTCCCCTTTCTCTCCTAAAATTACCTGTGTACATGGTGTCTTCCCCTATATAAGCTCCTTGAAGGCAGAGGGACTGTATCAATTTTGTCTTTGTTTCCCCAGTACCCAGCCCACAATGAGAGTTTAATAAATGCTTATTGATCGACAGCTGCCTATCCTCTTGCCCCAGGCCCATCTACTACTCCAGACCTAGCTCTAAATTTAACCAAAGGTCACTCCTTGAATTCAACAAACATTTATTAAATGCCTACTACATACATATACTGACAGCCCCTGGGCAATGGAAATATAAGGTTAGTAGGACAACACTTACCTTCTCAAAAGCAGCTAATAGCACATGGGCATGACCAGTCACTTCCACAACTACCAGGAGGAAAAAGAGAGAAGTCATAGTTGGCATCAGTCCAATTCTCCTATCCAGGAATAGGACAAGCACCAGATTAGTTTCCCATTGCATAAAAGGCTGTTCTTTCATCTTTCCCACTCTCCACACCCTCATCTTTTAAGGTTTGTCACTTTCTAAGTTCTCAGACCAGGAGCTGAGTCTGTTGTGGGTCTGGCATGGTTTGGGACCCCTTCCCCCAGAGTATTCTACTGGTCCCTCTCCAATGACCAAACCTCACCTGTCCTCCAAGGCTGCTTACACATAACTGCCCGTGGCTGACACTACATCTGTTACCTCACTCTGCTCATGAAGGGAAATTTTTGGCAGGTCCTGCTGATACAAATACATGACTGTTACTCTGGGAGGTAGGGAACATGAGATCCTGGGATTCAGCCTAGAGGTAGTTTACCAAATATCATGGACAAGAACTGACAACAGTACTACCTTGAGCTGTTAAGCTGGGCTCTAGATTCTCACCCTAAGGTTTGAGGGAACTGCTGCTGCCTCCACTTAAGATTTACACCCACGAGGCAGTAATATCCTCAAAAATATTGGTCAGATGAAAAAAAATCTGATATGAACCAATTTCCAAAGGAAATAATATTGTATGAGATTTTTTTTTTTTTGGTCTGGATATGTGATTTCATCAGTGTAAGAAACTTTCTGTAGAGAAACTCCTACTAATGCAGATAAGCACCAGCTCTGTATCTCACAGTCTGAGAGAATTACCTGGGACACTAGAAGATTAAGTGACTTGCCTACAATCACAGGGCATCAGACTCAGGACTTGAACTCAGGTCTTCCATATGCTATTTACCCTGGACAAGTTTCTTGGCCATGTTGCCTCTTCTGTCTCTCTGACTACCTGGTTAATGTAGTTCAAAACTTCAAAATGCAAATCTGTTCATCTTAACTAGTTTCCTGTATAAATTAAGTTGTCCATGAAAAAGAAAAATATACAACTCTAATGCAAAAAATAACAAAAAGAGGCTTACAAAACTCACTTTGCTTCCTTCAGGGATAAAAGGTATCATTGTTTTGAGGAAACCTGAAGCAATAAATTCTTTCCTGAGGAGACTGCACTTAGAAAGAAACTTATTTAAAGGAGGAATGAATTTTTAAAAATATTTCTTACCATCTCCTTCATCTACAACAGCCTGGATCACTACTGGGAATATACCCCTGTCCAGATCAAAGTTCAACTAGAGGGGAAAAGAAAGAGAAACATGTCAAGATTCATTCCATTCAGTAGGAAGATTAGCCAAATTAAATAAAAATTTGACATTATTTTAAAGGGAGAAAGCAAAACAAGAAGGGAAATGTAGCATGACTGCTTATGAGGGAAGTGAGTAAAAGAAATGGGTTAATTGAGCTACTTTGATTCTTACAATGAAAGCTCAGGAATGCAAGAGGACTGTTTAACATATATAAGACTCCCATTTTATTTCTAATCATAACCTCTGAACCACAAATCAAATAAAGAATCTGATCTCCATTAAGAACAATAACACAAACCCCCAGATAATCCCCTAAGTTATCACCATGATAAATGACCATTTTATTAGATTCTTACAATAGACACTGTGGACTGGATATGGGGAACATAGTCTCCATCCTAAAAAGATTACTGTATCTAAGAAAAGTAACTGGGGCAGCTAGGTGGCACAGTGGATAAAGCACTGGCCCTGGACTCAGGAGGACCTGAGTTCAAATCCGACCTCAGACACATAACACTTACTAGCTGTATGACCCTGGGCAAGTCACTTAACCCCACTACCTAGCCAAAAAAAAAAGTAACTGTAAGTTTAAAACAAAGTCATTAGTGGGTATAATATACAGAAGCACATGCTAGATAAGGAAGTGGTATGTTAGGTTCTAATTAGACCTTCAATTGGTATATCAGTCAATCAATAAGCATTTATTAAGCATCTACTACGTACCCTGCATTGTGCTAAGAACACAAAGCCAGAAATGAAATAGACCTTCCCCTAGTTTATCTTTTATCACGGCATCTCTTGTAAAGACACAGAAATGGGAAGTGGAGTGTTGTGTTGGAGGGACATTGAAAAGGTCAGTTTCATTTGAACATAGTGAGTGTGAAGAGAAATAACGTGTAATAATGCTGGAAAAGTAGGTTGGGTATGGGCTGTGAAGAGCTTTAAATGCCTAACAAGAGTTTATATTTGATCTTAGAAATAACAGGGAGCCACTAAAGCTTCTGAGAAGAGTGACATAGTCAAACTCTGTGCTTTAGGAAAATCATGGCAGCTGTGTGAAGGATGGATTAAAGTAACAAGAAACCTGAGGTCAGGATGTTGATAAAGAGAGTATTTCAAGTCCAGGCAAGAGGTTATGAAGGTGGCCTGAACCAGAGAAGGGGGTGGATGCAAGAGTAATTGTGCAACTGACCTGATATCTGGGATGAGTTGAGGAGGACACCAAGGCTGATGAGGCTGGGGGTATCCATGACAGAAATAGGGAAGTTTGGAAAAAGGGGTAAGTTTTAAGGAAACAACAATGAATTTTTTTGGGACATCCTGAGTTTAAGGTGCTTATGGAATATCCAATTTGAAATGTCTAATAAGCAGGGGGTAATAGCGGACCAAAGCTCAGGAGAGAGATGGAGTTGAATATACAGATCTGGGAGCCATCTGTTTAGAGACGATAATTAAGTTTACCAGAGCTTGCCTCTTGTCCCTTTTACTCTTTGACAATTCTAGAAATGCTGGCTATAACAATAATATGACAAAATTAAAGGCATAAACAATGGAAAAGAAAGAACAAAATTAGCCCTCTCTGCAGAAGACTCCAAGGAATCAACAAAGAAACTAAATAAGGTGATTAATACCACTAATAAAGTGGAAGGATACAAAATAACTCCACAGCATTTCTATGCTATACTAACAAAAATAAGTATGACTTATAGTATGAGAAATTCCATTCAAAATAAATACAAAATTCATTAAATACCTGAGAATTAGCTTACCAAGCTATACTTAGGACTTAAGAAATACAAGAAAACTTGAACAAATTTTAACAAATCTGAGAACATCGAGACTTAGTTGTGCTCTTCCTGCAAGGTGCAAAGTCATTTTAGGGCAAGTAAAAGTAAATATCTCTTTAAATAGCAGGCAGTCAACAGATGGAATACAATACCCCAAAATATCATGCAAATCAAAAATCTAAACAAGAACACAGGGCAAACAAAGAAGCTCGAAAAAAAAGCAATCTAAGGTAGGAGTGGAACCATGAAAAATATGCCTACATAAATTAAAATAAATAGCAAGAAACATATAGTGTTTCTGAGATTTCGTGTACATAAATATATAGACAAAGAAAAACATACAGGTAAAGCCATACCCTGCAAACTGGTTCTGCAAAAACCAGAAGTCAGGCACTATGGAAACAAGCTACATTAGGAGATCTCATTCCAACACTCAAACTACCAGTAACTGGAAATTTAGGCAGTGTAGGCGAGTTCACTAGTTAAACCTTCACTTTCACTTGTCCTGACTCTGGCATTTAAATGAGCAATCTAACATCACATTAACTTCAGCTTCCTGTACTTAATTACATAGCATTTAAAGGGTACATATCTGAGCAATTAACACACTGCATCAAGTCTTTAGAAGAGCAGTAACTTTAGGAAGGTAATTAGTAAGATCAATCAATATTCATACACTTGGGGGGGAGGGAGAGAAGAGAATAGTGAGAACAAAAAAGTCTCTTGTCCTGGTAGCTTTGGATAAAATATAAAGAGTAGAAAAACTCAGTGAAAAGCTTTTGTTAGTTTGGCATAGACACATACTACTCAAATCTAAGGCAATTTAGTACACGATAAAGAAAGGAGCAGAGAAAGTAGACATCCATTGTGGCTCCCCTCCCCCCAATCCGTGTTTCTAAAATGAATACTAGATTTGGAGTTAGAAAACCTGGGTTCAAGTCTTAGGGTAAGTCAATCTTTTGGGCAACTTAGCCACTTTTCGGGCCTTGGTTTCCTCATTTCTCTAATGAGGGAGTTAGGCTAGATAATCTCTAGGTTTCTTCCAGCTCTAAATCCCATCATGTTATGCTTCTGTCCACTAAAGTCATCCACTCATGACATGGTCAAAAGACTGGGGTCTGGCCCCACCATCAATATGGTTTTCTGAATATCAGTTTTCTGAGTTCTAAAATTGTACCAATAATCCTTGCCCTGCTTATATCACAAAGCTATTGTGAGGACCAAATTATATGCAGGCTGAAAAAGTCTTTGGAAAGCATCAAGTGCTGCACAAATGCAATGTATTACTCAGATCATCCCTGGAACTCTTCCATCTGACAATTGCCTTTTCTGTAGTCTGCCTCTCCCTAACTCCTACCCTCCCTTAAAAAAAAAAGCCCATAGTCTTCTTTCGCCTGGAACAGACTCTCTTTCAATGAATCACTTTTCAGATTCCCTGTTTATGTGCCGCCCTCTTGAGAACTGGAAGACAGAAAATATGAGAAAGCCAGAAGAGATCATGAAAACCAAAGAAACTCTGGGGAATCTATTTTCATAATCAGCTGGTTCCCCACAAAAGACTGCTTCACACCAAAAACTTTACCCCATCACCAACTTACATGGAGCTAGGCTTCTCAGTGGTCCTGGGAAGAAACCAAATGGAGTGAACCAAAGACGGTTTCATTTACCACAAGAAAGAGCTGATTTCCAGAGTTTCCAGTATAATACAGCAAGTCATTATACATCCATAATGCTCAGATTTTGCCATAGGGCTAGCCTCAACCTTTTTAATAGGAGCTACTGAAAAGCCTAGAGATAAGAAGGAAAGGGGTGAAGACAATTTCAAATTAAAGTCCAATGTCTCATCATGGAATGCAACTCACCTTGGGTTCTGAAAGGCTATGCCAATAGATCACAAGCTCTTGCAGGTTCTACCACATGGTAGAATTTTGAATATGGTTCTGGTAACAAATTGACCATAAGGGGATGAATTATTTGGCCAAGGAAACGCAAAGAACAAAGAAAAATACCATAAAATCCCACTCGATACTATGTAGACAGACCCCTTCTTCTGGGGCAACACTGTCAGAGTGGCAGAAAATGAGGCAGGGGTATAAAGCAGTGCTGTTTTTAGAGCATCTGTAAAATTGACTTAACTACTGGTGGTCTAAATGTGAGATTCTTGTCCAACAACCAGTGAGTCAATATATAACTGGAGACACTGACCTATATAAACACAGTTATTCTTGTTATAAATAAAACAAGAAGATGTAAGAAAGGTACAGCTACGTGGAAGGAGAGCTTACAGGTTCTTCTTCAAGAAGAGGGAAGTTGGTTTTATTATGTACAGAAAGGTAATAAGAAACATCATTTCATAGGACACTTAGTCATCTTGTATTGCAGTTCTCATAATAAGCATATGCAAGAAGACTAACTTGAAAATAATTGCAGTTTATGCTTTAGCATCTGTTGTAGAGGATGGCAGAAGATGAGGATGAAGAGAAATCCTATGAAAAAACATGGCAATAGTCTCCAAACTAAATCAACACATACTTTGGTACTTGGTGACTTCAATGTAAATGTGGTCACTGGGGACAACAGCAAAAAAAAAAAAAAAAAAAAAGTCAGAAAATATGATTGTAGGCTAAGAAATTAAAGAAGCTAAAGGCTAGCCCATTTAGAAGCCTCTCACCCATATACCAACAGTATTATGTAGTGGACAGAATCTTAGACTAAGAATTAGAAAGTCACCTTTTGACACTCAATAGTTACATGAGGATGAGTAAATTACTTAAATTCTGAGTCTTTTTCTTACTCTATAAAATAGGGATGATGACACCTGAAGTACTTACCTCACAGGCTTGTTTTAAGGCTCACATTCAATAATGTATGTAAAGTACTTTACAAATTTTATAGCACTATATAAATGTCATTTATTATCATTGTTGTTGTTGTTGTTATCCAGAAGAGAACCAGAAACTATTGGATAAGACAAGCACCAAATATCACAAAAAGTGAAATGAACTACCTTGACAAGCAGGAAATAACTAATGTGGGAGTCACTTCTGAATCAGTTGTCCATGTGTAATCATACCACCAACTCATTAGAGCAAAGGTCAAAAATCAATAACATAGTAAAAGAAAGGATAAATATACAAAGAAGACACTGTAAGCAATTAGAAGACCTATACCCTGATATATTCAAACAAGCTACTGATG